CGAAGACAGGTTGGAATTGGGATGGGGTGGTGGACAGCAGCTCGCTCTCTAAAATCTTATTTTTGTTAATTTTTGAGATTTTAGATTTTGAGCCCAGCGTGGAACGTTTTGGTTTTAATACGATACACGATTTTCTACCAGACATCTTGATTTAGTTAAAAAATAACAAAAGAGTTTTCTTTGTAGAATTTTGAATATAGCTGCTGATGTAAAGGGGAGACATTTTTTTTTTTTATTTTCCAACCAGTATTTTCGTAATAATTGGAGAAAAACATCTATGGTAACGCTTAAAAAAAAAACGGATAAATCTAATTTAGAATAAATTAGTCGTTATTTTAAATTTTTGCTATTTTATTTTCATTTAAAAACTTCATCCAAAATTCAAGTATAGCATCTTCTTTAAAAAAAATAATTTGATCTTGTTAGTGTGCATAAGGAGTTTTTTTTTTACGGTTTTCAAGTATGAAAACCACAACGGTATGGTTGAAAAACCAAGAAGACACGGTCGGAAATACGAAAAAGTTTACAGAAACAACGGTTTCATTGTTTCTTATTAGTTTTTATGTACGCGTTTAAAGTTTAATTTATGAACATTTTTCGATCTGTTCGAATTTAATTTTTTGACCGAACCAAATTTTTTGAAAATTTAACACGAAGTTCATTGCATGAGTTGTACTGATGGTAAAAAAAAAAGAAAGCATAATTCAGTAATTCTTTTTAAACGGCATGTTGAAATTTATATTAGGATTTTACATAATTCGTATCACTTTTTTATACACTTTTGAAAAAAAAAAAAAAAAACTATGAAAAATTCGGGCACATTTGGTATAGAAAGACCCCCACGGTTAAAAGAGTCAAAAGTTATGAGAAAAATATATGCAAAATACAGCACTATTTTCGACTTATTTCAGTCTCTATTTTCAAAGAGAAAAATCGACAAAAATCAAGTATAACGCACAAAAACAAAACAAATACGTTTCTGATAATATTCTGAAGATTTGTATCGACGACCGTCATACAGTTTAAATACTGTTCGCGTGCTAGCGATTTGCGTGCTGTAAATAAATATTCAATTCATACAGACGAAATGTATGACATTATCTTCAAACCCGAATAATATTCTAGGTATGCGTTTTTTTCAAAATAAAAAATAACGATAGTGCTCCATTATTGTTACATTGTACAATATCGAGTCAATTCGATTTGAGTTTTAGTAATAAATGAACAGAAAAAAAAAAGAAAAAGAAAAAAAAAAAAAGACAAAACAAAACATTACAAAACATACAGACATTCAGTAACATAATAGTCGTCCATAGATCAAACGGATTCCATTATTATAGTTATTGCGTGAACGCGATTGTGATAGCAGTGTATTGAGGGGGATATCGTACGAGCGTTATCAATCAGTCATGGGGATAAATAATAATATCAAACAAAGAATTCGGAGACAAAAACATGGTTGTACGTACAGTAGGTATTGTTATCGATTTATCGTGTTTAGAGGATGAAATCCGGTGCGCTTGGATTTGCTAGGGAGAAGAGAAGCGTCGGATCGAGTGGCATTCATTTTTCGGCGTTTTAAACAAATCGGTTTGTTACGACAAAACACGCACAGTTGTCGTTGTATTAACATTTCGCAATATTTTCGCAGAACGATTTTCATACATTTTATCGAAACCCAGTTTTCGCTGTATTATTATATTTTTCAAATCATCGAAAATACTAAAATATCAATAATATTCGTCCGTCTCCGGCATCGAGAGTGTATGAATGCGCCCGTAGACATTTTTTTTTTTCTTTTACGAAACGAGTTTAACTCAACCAAAGCCAAATTCGTCGAAACACAGAGCGAGTTTTTTTTTTTTTTCAAATATTGTCATCCAATTACAAAATAAAACGTTTCTATGGAAACCTGAATAACGTATACAACTTCAATCAATATATAAACGTCTCGTTTACAACGTCTCGGACGCAAAGTTTAGCCGCGGATTCGGTCTAAATCACGAACCCTTTAGGAACACAAAGCTGTATAAGTTTCCACTGTCCACCGTAAATAGTTGTCCGATTAGACCCTCGTAAATTTCATTTTTAGCACAAGCACACGAGAGTTGATATTTACTGTATTGTGATATTCCGTTTCCAAAAACGGAACGCAAATTTTTGAAAAGCTAAATCAATATTAACAAACGTTAAACGGACGCAAAGCGACTGCGATAGTAACGTGATTTTCACACCGTGTGAAAAAAAATGCCGAAAGTCAAAACATATTCAACGTTAAAACATTATTATCAGTACGCTCATTCGAGTTTGGCGATGAATTTTTCGTTCAACTACCGATGACCGTTTTATTTTTGCATTTCAGTTGTGGCCCACCGATAATACGATACGCTTTCGGGTGGGGGGGGGACAGAAATTGACAGTTTTAACACTGACAAAATATGTAATAATTTTAAAACGGCGCTTAACTTTGTTCTCTTTATTTTATATACCTACCTATATACTTAAGCCGAATCTTACATATTTTGATTTTGGTATTAAAATTCGAGAGAGTTTCGACATAATAATATTATCCTAGGCATATAGGTTATTTCAAAAAATATAATTCTCGTCAAACTAAGATTTTAAAATATTTTTTTTACATGGACACATAGGATACATTTTTTTTCCGAAATGTACGCTTAATGAAAGTTTAAATTAAAATTGATTATAATTATTTGTTCATATCTGTGGAAGGGATAAGTCCATATCCATAATTTTGTTTGATTATTATATCGATAGTTCGATACTTACCCGTGTAAAAACCAAACGAATTATAATATAAATGACAATTAAGTCCTAAACCGTTGTTTCATCCGTGTACGGGCTGTGCGGACGCCACGGCTGCGGTGCGGTGGGTTGACCTTTATCCGGAATCCGTTCGTGCAGATCCGTCAAGGGCTTATTAATGTCGTCATCGTGTATAATACACGACATATCCTTAGGTCACGAAAAAGAAAAATACAAGAAAAACAGATTAAATATGTAAAAACCAGACGTCGTTCCGTTTTTAATATAATACAAGTATATAATATAGACAACCTGGGGCCACACGAGTCCCACTGTTAGACTTTAACGTCACAACACTGCTGAAACAATCACTAGTGGGCAATGGTGTGTGTGTGTGTGTGTGTGTGTGGGGTGGGATCATTGTTTTTTTGTTTACACATAATATATCTACACAGTTTTTGTATGTAGATTTAAAAAAAAAAAAATGTTTTGTCTCTACACATCACCCTTCTCCTCCCCAATCCATACGGAAGTTGTGTACCATATATGCCACTGGCAGTCATTATTATAACACTCGTAGAGATAAAAAAAAGAAAATCGTTGTTATAATAATATTACATACACGTATATAATATAATGCAGTCGGGCAAAAACGTAACTACTCGCAGACGATCATAATATTATTATAATGCGTGTGACGGCGCTTTCGACGGATTTCTTTTGCGGACTTCAGTCTCGTATACGTATACAATTAATATTATTTATACAGTGAAATATTATTGAACGCGAAAGGGTTTACTGTATTATATATGTTGGTGGTTTTTTTTTCTTCTATCGCGGTTTCGACACGTCCGCGCGAAATTATATTATTAATCCGAAACGCACTTGAAATTTTATTCCGTCCTTCGTCGCTGCACCTCGACATGATGTGCATTAATGGAATTCGTGCGTCCCGACCTCTTCGACGGATTACCAATTGATGGTTTTTTTATTTTATCGTCTTCGCCGTCGTCTCGGACCCTTTCATTTTGACGCTTTCATTATTAATGCTTGTGTGTGTGTGTGCGTGCGTGTGCGTGTGTGCGCGCGCTGTCTCAAAAGAAACCACGACATTCGATGACCCGGTCGTAAAATAATCCCGAGGAAACGTTTTTGTAACGTCTCCGGCTAGCATTGTACAACATATTTTGTTCGATTTCCACCGTGTTATAGTGTTTATTACACTGTATTGTATAATTACCCACCACCGGTATATTTGGACACTTTTAGCGGCTACTTTTAGACTATGAGAGCTCAAACTCAGGAATTAGAGGTTTTTTTTTTTCACGGGTGAATTGAACAATTATGCTTGAATTTCAATGCTGAAGGAAGGTGTTTTTTTAGCTTTGTATATTTTTTCAGGCCGTCCAAACGAATGCAAGAGAATGACATTTTGTGTATGGATGATTTAAGTATAAATGATGTGCCTTTTGGTGGTTTCAAATTTCAACTACATTCCTATACCCATTTTTATGCTCAAATTTCATGTTCTCACAGGAAATAGTGGTAAAATCCACCATTTCCTGAATAGGTACCTTTACAGACTTATAATGAAAGTAACTTGGTTAAAATGTGTATAATATATAAATAGGTTTAAACTCCTGACCCCCGACCCTACCGTCTGTATTCTAGGAGTCCAGCTATTATACTTCCGTCCCATTGATTCGATCTGCGGACATTTTTCCACCGACTCTTCTTCCTCAAACTCTGTAACAATTTCTTGAACTTTGCGTTGTGTTTTGAGGTCGTTGTGTGCACCAGTTGTTTTCTGTTTTTCGATACTAATTGTTTTTCGCATACTGCGGTCCGTTCATTATCTTTTCATTCGTTGTGCTTGGAATATGACGTTTCGCATATTTCGCCGTTTCTTCTTGTAGTATTTTCATAAATGCTTCAATGGTCTGTAACGGACCATGATGGTTCTGATATTTATTGGGAAATATCTGCTTACGTTTTGTATGATCTCTCAAATGAACGGCTTTAGGCACTCGATATGGTGGCAGGTTACACCCCCTTCTCCGTTTTCCGGTCTGGCATGTCCCCGTCACCGTTTGTCCCCTATGTCAGACATTTCTATGTCCGATTTAAATTCCCCGTCTAAGTGACCTCATTACATTAATGTTTTACATAAACAATAAATAAGTGAATTTTCATAAATAATATAATATAATAGATATGGTTATTATAAGGTTTCCCTCAGACTTATTTCCGGGCTTGGGAGTAGCAACTATTACTTCGATTACTGGATTACTTCGAAAATATATGGATCGGTAGACTAACTAGACGGAAAATCATAAGGACATCCGTGTGTAGTGTGTAGTTATGGAACCAATATGACGCGACAGTTTATGGGGTTACATAAAACTAACAGTTCCATCGAAAGTTAGTATAAAGGTTAAATGGGTTTGAATAGGTTGTGACGTATTAGGTGACGTTGAGGGTTTTCAGTATCTTGGGTCTTTCGTTAAAAAAATGGTGACTTTGATGTTAATATGAAACATTATGTGTGGCTGGATTTAGTGAATGAAAGCGTCTGGTATTTTTTGTGACAAGAACATTTCAATGAGACCCCAAGAAGGGTGTTTTCCGGTTGAAAATGTTGCCCAATCGGTATTATATCTGTACCGTTTATCGCATTGTATTCAACGAAACTGCTATAAAGCAGATCCGCGCTCGACAGATACTCAGCGTGCGAATAATATTACCGTTCAAAAATACTAATATATGGTTAGAAAACTATTAAAACGCCGAGAGAGAAAACTCCGACGCACAAACGCGGGTGACGTTCTTCCCTGTTGAGTTCGATAATAGTTAGCTAATTCACTCTGTTATTAAAACTGAAAGCACAATATTTTGGTCCTGCTGCGAAAATCAGCGACGATACGGACAGAAAGTAAAACAAAAACTAAACGCACAATATGATAGAAATCGGAGTCGGACGTTTATTAATGAGTAGAGTATAGGCGATCGTTTCCGGCGCCAGTATGCGTATTAGTATTCCGGTATCCGTTCTGGCACCGGGTCGATTCTGGTCGACCGTTTCAAATTCACGTGTTTGATCGTATGCCCGTGGAATGATATTTATTATATTGTGTAGCAGAAGCAGATTTTAAATTGCCTGGTTCAGGGGACCCCGGCCACCTCCGTTCGCTCGCTCACTTAGCTTATTTTCTGAAAGGAAATTTTATCTCCATGGTAATTAGGGGAGTTAATTTTTCGATTTTTCCAAGAGTTTTCCCAGCTAATGTTAAAAACCGGAAAAAAAGGGAAAATCGGTACAATATGAGAAAAATATTATTTAAGAAAATATATAATGCCTATTTAATTATTTTTTAAAGAATATGAAATATATATATATATTGTTGACAAAGCATCACTATCAACTGAACTGCAATCAGAATCGTTTTTTCGTTAGCAATGGTTTATCGTTACTTACATATCGTTTAAATTACCTATAAAAGTGGCTGCACCCGATTCCATTATCCTTTTTGTTTCTCTATTTATAATATATTTTATATATTTTCTCAAAAATAATATTAAAATTACCTGTTCATTTTTAAGCATATTTTGACGATTTTGACTACATATTCCTATCAATTTTAGTGCAACAAGTCCCGAACCCTAGTTATGACTTACGATGAGGGTTGGAGGGGGATAAATTCATTATAAATTAATAACACTCGATTTTTACAAATGTTCACCATACCTTTAAAAAAGTATAACGACGGCTTTGCTAAACGTCTTTGACCCATTGAAAGGTTCTTTTTTTTTTTTTATAGATTCCAGACAAATCTGGTATTTTTTAAATACTACTTATTTCGAGTGCTTATTTGAATCTCACGCCACAAATAGTGAAAATAAAAAATAACTCTACGTTTGTTTTGATATGCCATGAACTATTTATGTGCTAATAAAACACAATATAGTATTATATATTATCTAGTAGCTTACCGCAGGTTCAATCAAATGCAAGCAAATTTTCTAAATTGCATTGTTCTTGCAATTTCCATATTATATTCAATAGTTTGTGCAAATATAATAATGTACGTAAATAATATTATAAAAGTATACGATTAAATAAAAATCAGTGTTCACAAGGAGAGAAAAAATCCCATTCGAAGAAATTGTATTTTCCAAGTAATATTATTTTATTTTACATGTTCTCGTTCTCAAGTGGTATACAACAGGTTATTATTTCCGTCGTATATAGGATATAGGGTAGGATTAAGAATACATTTTATGAAAAAAAAAATCGATCGAGATCACGTTGTGATGGTACGGACGTATTAAAAAGAAAAATATGAGAAACGAAGATAAAAATCTACTGTGATAGTGGCTAGAGCGTTATAGATCAAAAAAGGTGTGGAGGTCGAGAATAAGAAAACCTGGTGCTGTAACTACACTGTCAGTATACAAAATAACAATATCAGTTTGAAACGCGTCGAGGTGAACGGCGGGTAGTTTTTAATTTAGAAAATTTCGAATATTTTAAAAAACTTAGATATTGATAGTTTTAATCGGGAGTGTCCCTGTGCGGGCGAAGAGAGCTGTCAACACCGTTCCCGCCTCCCAGGACACTTTATGATGTTCCATATTTCACAAAATAACTAATAGTTATAATTCTTTAATCTTAACTTAGCAAAAAAATAATTGCTCTCTAATGAACTTTCGACTGAAACTTAAGAAGCACCTGGTCCTTAGTCTATATTAAAGCAAGAATGAAACCGTGTTCTTGTGCACAAATCAAGTTGTACCCTTTGGTTTTATAATTCGCACGGCGGAAAGGCAAAGGAAACGGGACCGTTTTCGTTCGGCGGGCACGAGATTGGCACGTTTCTATATATAAACCTTCAAACGGATGGGATTTCGGTTTTTTTTTTTTTTTTTTTTAATGATTAAATGGGTAATTGGATCGCAGGTGTGGTAAATTCATAACGTAAATGGTGGAACATAAATTCTGTTTGATTACACGTTATAACATTATGCGCGTGAACACATATCATGTACAAATTAAACATGCCGTATATAATATATAGATTTTGTATATTAAGTTATATAATAATTCATATCATATAATATTTTGAATAATATATAACGATTTTTACAACATATTATTATTATTATTATTAAAACAGAAAACAGTTACAAAAAAAAAAAAAAAAAAAATGT